CCCCCAGCTTTTAATCATGATAAATCTCTTTCTAAACGCAGACAACTTTTTAATCTCATCCAGCTTCTTCTGGTTTCCCTGTCTGAGATGGTCTTTGTGCCAATTTTCATCCTACGAGCCGCCATGAGCAGCTGCTCAAAGCTCTCCCCGTGCTGTAGGTGGGCTCCGGGAGGCGCGGTGCCGGAGCCGAAGTCGGTACCAGGACGTGGCAGGCACAGGGAGGGCAGAGACATCCCATTTATTCTTCCAGCTCCTTTCACCACGTCAGGCCCAGGAAGAAGGGTGAGAGCATGGCTTGCACCCTGCCACTGGGAGCAGACGGGAGAGCGGATGTTCTGTTTTCTCCCATCGGGCTAAAGCTCCATTTCTCCTCACCTGGTTCTAGGTTTCAACCAAATATGATTTATTTTTATGAACTACTGCATAGAGCAGAGTAGTTCCAGGGGAAAGAAAAACACCACCAGCAGAAAATTAAGAAATATCTCCCTGCATATTCCTAAAAGTAAAAATTATTATTTGTGGGTTTTTCAGGCAACAAATGAAAAGCAGCCTCCAATATCCCATGTGTCATCGCGTCAAGACTTCTGCGTGGGACCCAAGTGTTGTTACCTGAGATTTCTGAGCCTCCCTGCCCTAACTGACACCACAGGGAGGGGGTGGGGGGGGGACGACACATGAAATCAAAACCACTTCTAGCACCAGCAAATGCTATTGTTCAGATCAACAGGACCATTCGCAAAGGAATTTCTCCTTGATAACTGTGTCTCAAAGAGAGGCCAGACCCTCAAGGAGAGGTTCTGCCCAAGTCCACATCTATGTTTCCAGCCCTTCTCCCACCAGTGCAATCCTGGACAGAGGTGCCATTACAGATACAGACTGCTCAGCTGAGCTAAAGCACTAAACCTCAGCTTTTCCAGTTCCACTGCATAATTAATTTCTTATTAGATCTTATCAGAGAGCCACCTGTAACTAAATGATTACATTCTAAAACAAAGCACCTGCCCAGTTAGCCCTTTAATAGATGATTTTTCCAAGAGGCAGAGCCTCAGTTTATTCACATAACGACACATGAAATCAAAACCACTTCTAGCACCAGCAAATGCTATTGTTCAGATCAACAGGACCATTCGCAAAGGAATTTCTCCTTGATAACTGTGTCTCAAAGAGAGGCCAGACCCTCAAGGAGAGGTTCTGCCCAAGTCCACATCTATGTTTCCAGCCCTTCTCCCACCAGTGCAATCCTGGACAGAGGTGCCATTACAGATACAGACTGCTCAGCTGAGCTAAAGCACTAAACCTTAGCTTTTCCAGTTCCACTGCATAATTAATTTCTTATTAGATCTTATCAGAGAGCCACCTGTAACTAGATGATTACATTCTAAAACAAAGCACCTGCCCAGTTAGCCCTTTAATAGATGATTTTTCCAAGAGGCAGAGCCTCAGTTTATTCACATTCTTCACTTTTACAGCCTTGTGTTTCACAGTTTGGCGACCCGTTGGGAGATTCAGCTGCTCCTGTTACTGCCCCACGGAATGGGGAGTTGTGGCAGAGCATTGTGGCCTGCAGCCACTCGTTACATAAGATGGCAAATTTCAAAAGCCAGACTTATCCCCAATATAATTCCGTCGGCTTCGGCGCTTTGTGCCAGGACCGTTTGGTTTCGAACACGAAGGTACAAAAGAAAAAGCTGTTTGTTAAATTCCAGTCCCTGGCAAAGCTTAGATGGTGTGACTATTAAGATATACAATATATTAAGATATATAATTAAGGTATATGATAGACACTTGAATTTTGGTCAGTAGGTAGGGTTTTAATGTTTCCAGCCCTTCTCCCACCAGTGCAATCCTGGACAGAGGTGCCATTACAGATACAGACTGCTCAGCTGAGCTAAAGCACTAAACCTTAGCTTTTCCAGTTCCACTGCATAATTAATTTCTTATTAGATCTTATCAGAGAGCCACCTGTAACTAAATGATTACATTCTAAAACAAAGCACCTGCCCAGTTAGCCCTTTAATAGATGATTTTTCCAAGAGGCAGAGCCTCAGTTTATTCACATTCTTCACTTTTACAGCCTTGTGTTTCACAGTTTGGCGACCCGTTGGGAGATTCAGCTGCTCCTGTTACTGCCCCACGGAATGGGGAATTGTGGCAGAGCATTGTGGCCTGCAGCCACTCGTTACATAAGATGGCAAATTTCAAAAGCCAGACTTATCCCCAATATAATTCCGTCGGCTTCGGCGCTTTGTGCCAGGACCGTTTGGTTTCGAACACGAAGGTACAAAAGAAAAAGCTGTTTGTTAAATTCCAGTCCCTGGCAAAGCTTAGATGGTGTGACTATTAAGATATACAATATATTAAGATATATAATTAAGGTATATGATAGACACTTGAATTTTGGTCAGTAGGTAGGGTTTTAAGAGTGCAGGGTTTAAACTGAAAACGTTTGCAAAGAGGCTATTTCTTAATTCCAGTCCCTGGCAAAGCTTAGATGGTGTGACTATTAAGATATACAATATATTAAGATATATAATTAAGGTATATGATAGACACTTGAATTTTGGTCAGTAGGTAGGGTTTTAAGAGTGCAGGGTTTAAACTGAAAACGTTTGCAAAGAGGCTATTTCTTATCCAGATCGCTTATTTTATAAACATCAGGTTTCGCGTACAGATGCTGTCTCTAATCACAAACGGTACCGGCTTGGGGATTGTTGGGAATTGTAATTGCGGGAATTGTAATTAAGCAGCAGCACCCGGCTGGAGCGGAGCAACGCTCCTCGCTCGGCCGATGCCCGGCGATCCGGCGTGCGACGGAGCATCCCGGGAACCGGGAGAGGATCCCGACGCGCTGAAATAGACACCGGGAGGTGCCGGAGGGGAAGGGGAGCGCCGGTACCGCTCGGGAGGGACCCCGGACCCGCCGGGGGAGGGATGCGGCCGCACCGCGGCATCCCTCGGGGACCGG